TGAGTGTTCCGTTGGGTGGATGGGACGTTCGTGGGTGAGTGTGTGTGTGGGTATGAGGGTGAGTGGGTTAGTCAGTGGGTGGGTGGGTTGTGGGCTGTGGGGTACGATACGATGCCTGGGATGGGTGGAACCAATGGCAGTAGCAGCGGCATTTGCGGTGGCAGCGGCGGTGGCAGTGGTGGTGGGAATGGTTGTGGGAGTGGCAATGGCAGTGGCGGTGGCTGACAATGTGGTGGAATGTAAATGGCAAGGTCATTCTGAGATTTTAGGACGATAAGCGATGACAGAGAGAGTGTTGTATGTATTTGATTTGATTTGAACCTTCAGTGTTACGTTTCATCCCATGTGTACACTTAATTAATGCTTAATTACCTTACATGTGTCTGCAAGGAGAATTCTCCACTACTGGACCAATCTTGAGTCATTATTTAGGTAGGCTTTCAAATGTTGGTGTTATACTTTAACTTGTGAATAACTCATGCTGTACGCGATACGAGCATACTGGTAGTTCGTCATTTTCGTCGCCCACCTTGAACGTCATGCCCTAACTGGCCATTCGTCCGACTTCATCTGTGCACGTCCCAAATTCCCTGTGTCACAAACCACCCACTATCTAGGCGAGAGGTATGGCGGGAAAACGAGTGTCTTCGCGATCGCGTCTCCTGCTCACCCAGCGGCGACTTCGCGCATCGGTCCCAACACGACTGTACGAAATCCGTTAAATCCCTCCGTTATAAGCAGCTTCGCGGGATTCGCCCAGTTTCGATTTTTCTCACTTGCACCTTGATCACCTCGCTGTTTCACCTCCAGATTCATTTAGTTCGCTTGCAAGCGTATCCGTGCCTCAAATCGTCTCATCATCTCCGTCCATCCACCGTATCTCTGTTGAATCCCGTTCATTGTTTGTAATTGTCTCAATCCCGTCCTGCCAAACCATTCAGTGTCACCATCGTCATCCTCGCTCTCGTGCCCATATTCGTCCATGCGACCGCATCTCCCGCCGCGATCCCCGCGGTGCTGGAGGTGGGTCGGGAGCTGCGGAACGTCAGCATGCCATTCGCCGGCCGTTACAACGCTAACGCTGACGTGGACGCTGACGGCAACGCGGATGCTAACGCCAGACGCAGCAGCAGCACCGAGACGACCGCGAGCGCGGATGATAACGGGGACGTGAGGGAAGGGCGAATGTTCGGGCTCCACGGGTTAAGGCCGAGCATGGGTTACGAGATTAAGATCTCCTTCCCTGCAAGTGTGCGTACGGCCATGGACGGCGAATCTATTGCCAGAAAGTCCATGTTTTGCCCTTATGCAGACCCATTCGCACTTCTGTCCGTGCGTGCTCAACCGGTGCCACCCCAACCCACCCCTTTCCATCCGCTCCCACCCCATCCCACCCCACCCCACCCCATCCCATCTTAACCCACCCCAACCCATCCCACAGCTACCAGCGCGCTTCCATCTCGCCCTAATGGCCGTGGATCCAGAAGCCGCCACAGGCAGCGCCCAGGAAGGTCCTGCTGGTGCGTGGGGTGACCTGGCAAGTGGACTTGCAGCCAAGTCCAGAAAAATGCTGGACACGGAGAAGGTTATTTTCAGGACTGACAAGCACTCTAACGTGCTGGTGAGTTCTGGGATTTGTTATCAAAGTGTGTGCGTGCAGAGCTATGGGCTCTGCATTGTGTGGTTGCGGTATTCTACCGGGAGATCCGGGCTGTCAGCTCAACAGTGGGGGTTGCCAGCTGGTTAGAACACATGCGCTTGAGAGAAGCAAGTGCGAGTGGCTGGGCCATTATTCCGGGTGGATAGAATATTGTGTTAGGATCCTTGAATCCAGTCACTTGCAGGATGGCCATGTGAGGCTGGCCATGTGAGGATGGCCATGTGAGGATGGCCATGTGAGGATGGCCATGTGAGGCTGGCCATGTGAGGATGGCCATGTGAGGATGGCCATGTGAGGCTGGCCATGTGAGGATGGCCATGTGAGGATGGCCATGTGAGGATGGCCATGTGAGGCTGGCCATGTGAGGATGGCCATGTGAGGATGGCCATGTGAGGATGGCCATGTGAGGATGGCCATGTGAGGATGGCCATGTGAGGCTGGCCATGTGAGGATGGCCATGTGAGGATGGCCATGTGAGGCTGGCCATGTGAGGCTGGCCATGTGAGGCTGGCCGTGTGAGGCTGGCCATGTGAGGGCCATTTCAGGATGGCCCTGTCAGGATGGCTAAGACGATAGCTTAATTGTGTGTGCCATTGGCAAAACGCTTCGTGTTTCATATCTGTATCCATCACTTTCTCTGCTTCTTTCCTTCCTCCTCGTCCTCCCTTTCCTTGTGCTCCCTTTCCTCCCCGTGCTCCCTATGCTTCCGTTGTTCCCCTTGCTTGTTGTTCAGCTGCAAGGTCGGCCGCTCGTACCTTCTGCAGCAGTGCATGTGTGGGCTGAGCCCACAGCAGTATTTCCAGGGGGGAGTCGTGAGGGTTCAGGGGATGTGCTTTTCAATATAGGTGAGTGCAGGTGGTTTGAGCTTGGCCAGTTTTTGTTGGATTCCTCTATTTCCTTATGTAGAAGGGTTGTAGTATCGTATGTGCTTATAGATGCAAGTGATCTTGAATTGCTGATGTTGTTTCTTGATCTTGGTCACAGATTGTTTTTTTCCTGTTGTTGTTCCTGCCACGCCCTTTGGTTTCTGCGCTTGGCAGTCTGTGAGGAGCTACGCTTGGGCATACCAATCAGTGCATTTCGCCTCGCTGCGTTTGGCATAATTATACTTACCGTTGTGGTGTTTATTGCACACCAAGCCCCGTTGATTTCGCTTGTTTCCCTTGCTGACTCCCTTTCCAATGGTGCTGTAGGTTCAAACCGTCGTTTCAAAGAGAGAATTTCTTAATACTGTGTGTCAGTCTTGAGTAGAATTGATATAACAGCATGTGGTTGCACATTGTTCCGATATATATTTAAACCTGTTTGTACGTTTACACCACTAATGCTATACGGGTACAATTATATCGGAAGCCAGCCCACCAACAAAACGTGTTTTGTCGGTTCCACCGAAGCAGATGCTGCTCTTTCGTCCCAAGAATTTCGACGACCGGCAAGGCAAACTCACCCCTTGCTCACCACGCACGCGTCGCGCCCCGGCTGTCGGTGCCTCTGTTGCGGATGCTGCTGCTGACTCTTCCCTTCATCCCCTTCCCCCTTCTTCCCCCTCCAGCTATGCCCCCCACCTTCCCCGTGCGTGAGGCTGACACGAAGATTTCCGCGTTTCAAAGTGTGCGCCCCCGTCTCGTCCAATTTATTGCACCCCCTCATCCAGGGGAAAGGTTTCAAAGTGTGCGCGGAGGCGCTTACGGCGGAGTTTGGTGGATGCTGCGGGCATCAGCGCCCTCACCCCACTACTCCACGTTTACCGCGGGGAGTCGTGGTTTTTCTGGGTCTGACGACAAATTGCGCTTTATTGACAAATGTCGCTGCCACTGAGCAATTTCAAGCTGAGGGTTTTCAGAAGTAGCTTGCCGCAAAAAACGAACAAGATAATGTGCAAGCTTGAATTTTGTTCCTCGTTTGCTTCAAGTTCTCTCAAACAACCACGGTTTACTAAATTCCTATTTCTCAAAGTTCCATACGTCGGCTTGTAAGCTTTGCGAGTAACATCATTAGTATCAGCTACAAATGGGTCCGCCACGTCAGCTCGACCTTCCCCAGACCCAGCCCTCGCATCGCTCGGCGCTTCAGTCGGAAGACTTGCCGTCGCAGATCGACATCCTGCAGACCATGATGGCGCGGCAAGGCCGGCCGATGCCGGGCCGGCAGCACCAGAAGCACCTCCACCAACACGCGACTCCGGCAACGAGTAGACGCGTGGCCTGCAGCAGCCTGGAAGATAGGGACGGGAGCGGCGCGTCGAGCGAAGAGGAGAGATCGCATTGGATGTTCGACGAGAGCAGCAGCAGCATCAGGAGCAGCACCAGTGGCGAGTACAGCACCGGGGACGCGCATTACGCGCCGTGCATTCCGGAGGATAGTGGCTGTACCAGCGGTAACGGCAGTAACGGTGGTAGCGGCTCGGGGACGTTAACGGAGGCGAGGGATATCGACATAGACGTGCCGGACTACTCGCTGCTGTTCAACGAGGCGCGCGCGGCGAAGACGGAGGGGAAGGCGCCGCGCGTGGTGCCGAAGTACGGCGAGGAGATGGCGGACGTGCCGACGAAGCGCATCGAAGTGTACCTACCGCCGCCGGTGAGTTGCAAGCACGCGACGCGACGCGTGTAGCGGCTCTCCGAGAGCCGACTGACACGGTTTCGGGACGAGACGTTATGGAAAAACACTCAATAGTCGCATCGCAGCACGGCGAGCGTGGTGATGTCTCACGGACATTGATGGATGAATCGAGTGTGAGTCCACTCCACATTGTTTTCCTTGTTCAGCGGTGAACACAAAGCTTCGCGCGCATGTCGCCCGTGACCTAAGCGTCTATATCTGTCCTCTCTTTCCCCCACATTTCCCTACCCGTTGATTTCAGTCCCCGCAATGCTCGCCGAAGCGCCGACCTGGCTGCTGCCTCCCGTTGTTTGGACGTCGGTGACAGCGCGTATGCCACTGGCCACTGGGGCCTATGCGTGGAGTAGGACCGAACCGCAACGGGTCAAACGAATTTTCCTTTGCGTTGTGGTTGGCTGATGAAGAAGAGTTCAGGAGGAGACAAGGTTTTCTTTATGCGCTTGCATTGTTGCTTGATTTGCTCTTGTCAGAAGGGCTTGACAGATACGTAGGAATCCCGTCTAAGCTGTCACGATTTGTTATTCCTTTACACGCGAGCTTGTTGACTTGCATATTACAACTGTACAGTATTTAAGTATCTTCGAGTACTGGCAACACTGGCATTTCTTATAATGTTCAACAGTTGGGGTCCACTTTGGACTGCTACCGAACAAGACTATGCAACCCGTATTTCTGCCACTGAAGATCACAATACACACACTACGCAATGCTACCTCTGTCACACGGCGCTTTCTTTCTCAAGCCGCAGTTTTGCAGCCGCCTCTTTCTTCTGCTCTTTCTCCAGCCTAGCTTGCTCGTTTTTCTGCTCCCTCTCCAGCCTATCTTGCTCGTTCTTCTGCTCCCTCTCCAGCCTATCTTGCTCGTTCTTCTGCTCCCTCTCCAGCCTATCTTGCTCGTTCTTCTGCTCCCTCTCCAGCCTATCTTGCTCGTTCTTCTGCTCCCTCTCGAGCCTAGCTTGCTCTTTCTTCAGCCGCTTCTCCTTCGCCAGTTCCCTCTTCTTCCGCCTCTTCTCCTCCTTCTCTGCAATCCTCGCTCTCCTCCTCTCCTCCTTCGTCTTTATCTTGAAAGCCCTCCTCTTCTCCCTCTCCTCAATCTTGTTCCTCCTCTTCTCCTCCTTCTCTTTAATCTTCAGTCTCCTCTTCTCCTCCCGGACTGCGATCCTCTCCTTCCTCTTCTCCTCGTTCGTCCTCAACTTCTCCAGCCTCTCCTCTTCCTCCTCATCGTCGATTTCCTCATTCGTCTTCACCCTCTCTTCCTTCTTCCCCGCACCTTTCGCCTCTGCGGCAGCAGCGCGGCCGAATCGCCCCTCGTTCCATCCACGCGCCACGGGGAACGGCACTGCGCGCATAACAGCGTCCGCCAGTGTGGAGTCTGCGCCGCTCGCCGCCACGCCCAGCGCCAAAAGCGTCGCCGCCATCGCCTCTCGCCTCGTCACTTTGCGCGTTCCGCTCTCTGCGCGCTCCAGGCGGCTATTTCCCGCCACGTCTTCCGCCGGCGGCGCAGGCGGCTGCTGATCGTCGGTTGCGCCATTCGTTGCCCTCGCGCATGCGGGCTTCGACCGCGAATGGAAGGCCAGGCGGCACGGCTGGGGACGAGTCGAGCGGGGCAGCGCGCTGACTGACGAGTGGAGTCAGCGGGATGGAAACACGCCGGTTGGGTATAACGAAAAGAAACATCAGATTGACGGAGAAAGCACAGAATAGAAATGGATGGGCAGGGACAAAGAATCGTCGTGTGACAACATCTCGCATAGATTTTCAAGGACACATTTGTTCGTGGCAACAGCCGGGACGGAGAGAAAGCATGAATGCCGTTAGTCCACTCACCATTGCAGTAGCCCGCGTTGGATGCACTCCCGAGGCGGGACACGTCAGCAGAGAAGAAAAGACCCTTGGACGGGAGCGCGCACAGCCCGGCAACACTGGCGCGACAGGGATTTGCGACTGCAAGGATATCCATGGCGAGAAGTCACGATTGTAGGGAACTAGAAAGACTGATAAACCAAAGCTCGGTGAAATATTGGGAAGGAAGAATGCCAATTTATAGGCACAGAGGGATTCTTGGGGAAAGGCGGACTTGTGCTGTGGATTTCTGGCTGGGAATGCGCGGATTCCAGGTGCGGGATTCTGGGCACACGCGGAATCTCTCGCGAGCGGATGCGGCACGAGATTGGACCAGAGGTGGTCAATGTGGTTGAAGATATTTGCGCTGCTGAGTCAGGCTACACGTCAGCGCGACGGAGCAGGGAATGCGGTACAGTCATGTGATAGTCGCTCGACATTGATTTGAATGTAAGAATTCAGTCTACAGACCTTATCCGGTACAGCAGGCAAAACATGATCCACCCACCACAATAACTAGAAAATTTATTGCTTTTAAGAAAAATGGTACAACGAAGCTGCCGCTTCCAGTAACAAGGAAAACAAGATATGCCACATCATTCACTATCACTATCCTCCTTTTTCTCCTTTTTCTTCTTTTTCTTCTTTTCAGCCGACGCTGAACCTCCCTCTCCAGCCGCCCCATCCGCTTCCTCTTTCTTCTTTTTCTTCTTCTTGGCAGACTCTGAACCCTCAGCAGCCGCACCTTCACCATCCTTCACTTTCTTCTTCTTAGGAGTGCTCTCCTCCCCGTCCTTCTTTTCCTTCTTCTCCTTCTTTTTCTTCGGGGTGCTCTCCTCCCCATCGCCCTTCGCCTCGTCCATCACAACATCCCCAGCAGCACCATCCGCAGCCCTCTCCTCTCCCTCCGCCCCCTCCCCGTTCACCGCCGCAGCCGCAGCCACATAATCCGGAATCGACCGAAGCCACTCGGCCGGCGTCTTCTCGTTCGGCTTTCCGTGTTTATCCAGCAAGCCGCCCGCAATCAGCTTCTTCTTCTGCTGCGAAACCGGGCCCAGGCCCCACTTGCGGGGATACGTGTCTCGCTCCATCACCACTCGCTTCACCTTTGCCACCACGCCATGGTCGCATGACGCCATGCCTGCTGTCGTCATCTGTGCGATAGCAATGGCGATCGCCTCGCCCTTGGTCGTCATCAGCACCACCTCCTCACCCACCTGAAGGAATCCGAGCAGGACGGAATGAGGGGAAAAGTAAGAACGTGCAGAACATTTGACAACACCTCAGCATCAACGCCAGGTTCTCCTCCTTCCGTCCGTTGGTCCCTCCCTCCCTCCCACCCTCCCACGCGAAGAATAACGTCGTTCCTAGTATCGCAGCAGCCCCAAGAAGCATGACCTTAGAGTCTCAAACGTCCTCTCCTCCTTCCCCCACCACTTCCCCCTTCACTGCCCCTTCCACTCACCTCAATGGCGTTCTCGTATCGCAGCAGCCCCGGCAGCATGAGCTTCGCGCCGTAGCACAGCGCGTTGATCGCGCTGTCCTTCACCACGAGCCGCTTGAACGACGTCAGCAGCACCTCGAGCGGCATGATCACGCGCCGCAGGTACGTCTCGTCGCCGTACTTGTCATAACAGTACTGCGCGTCGAGAACGTCGTGCATGGTTACCATGTTGTTCATTTCGCCCAGAATGCCGGACCGCACTCGCCGCAGCTCCTGCATTAGTGGGAAAAGGTTAAAAAAACGGAGTTCAGGATACGATGAACTCAGGGTATAAGGGAGTCAGCATGATGCTCAGCAACGGGAGCGCGCCGAAAACGAAACTGGAGCAGACGAAATAGGCGGAAACAAAAGTGGGAGAAAACGAGCAATGCCAATCGGAGAAAAGTGGGGGCGGGGGAAGGGGGGGAGGGGAAGAGGAGAGCCCGGGGGGGCTGAGGGTGGAACGAGAGAGAGGACGCGGGAAAGGGGGGAGGGAGTAGGAAAGGGGGAGGAGAGAAAACTGCATAAAATTTCGCGCGTTCCGCGACACGGACCTGCATGTGCGCGCCGACGCCGAGCATCAGGCCGAAATGCACGCAGAGCGTTCGCACGTACGTGCCGGCTTCGACGGAGCACCAGAACACGACGAGGTTCCGCGCCGCGTCGTAGTCGAGGAGCTTAATCTCGTAGATCGTGCGGATGCGCAGCTGGCGCTTGACGGCGGAGATGAGCGGCGGGCGCTGGAAGAGCGCGCCCGTGAGCTTCTCTAACGCGCGCACGACCGTCGCCTCGCTGTCGACGGCGCTGTGGAGCCGCGCGATGCACACGTACTCCTTTCCCGCGCCCTGCTGCGCCTTCACGAGGCGCGTCGCGCGATCCACGCAGACGATCAGGCTGCCTGACACCTGGAGGGAATCGACGAGACACGGCGCGCGAATGGGAAAGGGAGGGAGGGTGAGGTGAGGATGGGAGGGTGGGTGAGGATGGCCGGTCAGGATGAGTCGAGAGGTACTATGAAATGCGCAATGCAAGAACAACGGGAAAATATTGAACAGACACACGGGGGTAAGAGAAACCACCGAGCTTGCACGGGGGTTCGACATTAACGAATCCAGCAGCATCCCCATGCCGCTCAATTTACAGCAAAGAAAGCCGCAACGCAAGGCTACGGAATACCAGCGAAAGAGGAACCTGTTCCCATCCCCTTCTACCGAAAGCTATGGCCTGCATTGCTCGCGTATTTCAAGCTCCGTTGAGCTCCAGGTGCGCTGCGACAAATTTCCGGTCCGCGCGTAAAACACAACCCCAAATCCCTATCCCATCCGTAACTGGCCCGAAAAAATCCTTCCTTGACGATTTCGGTTATCCCAAGCCCTGAAGGAGCCCCAAGGCCAGCTAAGAAACCCAATTCCGGTTTACTCCCCTCCTCCCCCTCACTCGCTCCCGCTCTCTTCCGGAACAGGCAGACTCTTTTCGAACGCCTACACCCCGAGTTACCTAAAAATCACAAGTTACAACTGCACCGAGCCGCACCTTGGGATCCAGCGTGCCGCTGTGGCCCGTCTTGTCGACGCGCAGAATGCGCTTGATCCACGCAACCACCTCGTGCGAGCTCGGGTTCACGGGCTTATCCAGATTGATCACTCCGTACCGCACGTAATCCGAAATCGGGCGCTTGAGCGGCGTGTGTCCCATGGGAATCGGCGTGTAGTGCCCCGTGCGCACGTTCAGCTTGTCATAGTTTTTCAGCAGCAACGGCCACTCGCTAGTGTCCATGACGTCGCGCTTCGTCGGCTCCGGCTTAATGAGGAAGTCCGTCGCCTGCTGAAGCGCGGCGAGCGAGGTTTTGCCGTCGGCCATTGGGACTAGCGCCTTCGACGGCTGTTCTTCCGCTTCCGCGGATTGGCCCTTTGACTTTTTCTTCTTCTCCGTACCCATAATGCTGGTGTGACTGACGCGCTAATAAAAAGCTACCAAGACGTCAGCGGTCAGAACCGACAAATCTCGCGCCTGTAGAGACGCTTAGCCGAAAGGCACTAGGCAGAGCGAAGCCGAAGATGGGTAAGGAAAGAAGTCGAGAGAGGGGCGAATATGGGAAAGGGGGATAAGGGTACTCGAGTAGGTAGGGAGTCGAGGAATAGAAACATGCGAAGGCGAGGGGCTGGGTGGGTTAGGGAGGAGAGGAGGGAGGGGGAGAGGGGGGTGGTAGGGAGAGGAGGGAGAAGAGGAGGGAGGGAGGGAGGTGTTGTGGGGGCGAGTGTAGTTGCAAAGGAAGGGCTGGGAGGGAGGAGGTGTTGCAAAAATCGCCCAGCCCACATAAGCAACGAAAGCGCGACTTGGTGGTTCGGTGGCTATCCACCCAACGATGTGGTCAGTAACACTATTTGCATTTTCCGCTTCTTGTGTCTCTTATATGAAGTCTTGGTTTCATTCTGACTAAATTGTTTTCATACCTAGTAAGAACTACCTTCGCACAAAATAAATGTAGAGCACCTATGTGAAAAACCAGTTCATAAGAATCCATAAACATCTATAAATTATGTTCATAATCTGTACTATGTATAAATACGGTTGGAGCAAGCGCATCTATAAATTTTATGTGAACTTCATTAGTTATGATGAAGTTACAAAGAATGAATGTCCGATATCGTTATCGGAAGAACAACCTATTGACGGGATCGATCATCTAATCCCGTCAACAGCTCAGCCAATCCCAGATGCTCAGAAGATATGTTATGTTACGATATTCCGTCAGTTTGTGGTTGTCCCAGTGTGCCACACTGCCACGTCACTGTCCAAAGCACAACCCCCAGCCTTCCATCGCTCCACGTGGTTTGGCCTGTCATTTCAATCAGATCTCGCTCACTCGCCACCTTCATTCAGCAGCAGCTGCGGAGCAAACCAGACCTGTCCAATACCGCACAGCCCAGGCCCAGGCCACCCAACAGACCTCCACTTGCTTCGCGCCCTCGAGCCTGCCGTAGCTTGTTCGCCACTTTTCCGTAGGGCTGCACACCTTTCCACCTCGAACTCGCGGCGCATCTGGGTACTTCCCTGTCTTGCCTCTCCCCAGCCGACACCGAAGCTCTCTGCTTCGGCTCGGAGGAATCCGAACCCAACCGAGATTCGAGAACCAGGCAGTTCTCCCAAATCTCTCTTCACCTCCCCTCCCCTCACGCTAGCTCCCTCCCTTCCCCTCCCTCCCGTCCCTACCCTGCAGCATGACCAGAAGCAGCATATTACATAATTTCAAGTCCTTTTTCACATTCTTTCCAAGTTCTGTTAGGAGATACTAGGCTTTTCGTGAGCAGCGACACTGTACCCGACCATCGCGAGCTGTTGTTGCTGCTGCCGTTCTTCCTGGATCGAAGGTAGACACGTAGTGTCTCCTCCGTCCTGCTATCGCCGTCCCAATTCATTCATTCACGGGCTGGTCCTGTTTAAATTCGCCTCGCCGCGGATCTGTTCATTCTGCTTGCGTCACTTTCTCCATTAGTGCTGCTGCAGCTCACAGTGCCATCGAGTGTCGCTCATTGTCGCTCATTGTCGCTCAGTGTTGCTCAGTGTTGCCGGCATGGCATCAGTAACTCTGGGCATGGCTGCATGTGCTCCCATGCTCCGCTGCAAGCCTCCCACAAGCACCACCTGCGTCAGCAGCGGCGAAACCCTTGCAGAGGCGAGGCTAGGCGCTCAGAAATCCTCTCTGAGAATCCACAGCAGCAGCGGGAACGCCGCTGCGGCGCAATGGAACCCGCTTTCGTCCAGCAGAAGCAGATCGGCGTGCAGATTCGCGTCGTCCAGCGGCCCAGGGATGGTCAGTCAACGACGAGCCACGTGGCGAGTGCAGGCGTCCGCGTCGGAACCTCCGTCTGACGCGAAGAGCGACGCGACTGGCAGCAGCAGCAG